GACTTGAACGGATGCCACTGTGGGCGCGCGACTTGCATGAGGTCGACAAGCCTGTGCACACGTGGTATGCGCAAACAGCCGTAGTAGCACTCTCACTTCGCTGGGACTCACGCAGTCAATCCCTCGTCCAGCCGCTACCCTCTGCACCCCGTACTCACCCCTCCGTGACCACACGCGCCCCGCAGCCGCCGTGCGTTTGTTCCCCCTCTCGCCGCCCAAGCGCTCATGTTCGTGGCATTGATCTTGCTGTCCTGGTCCTGGAGGCGCTGTATTTACCGCAGGGTGTTGGGAGATGTGATGGCCATTCAGGAATTCGGGCTTATCCGTGTGCGGATCAAATCGCCCAGCCCGCGCAGGTCCTAACCCAATCGGCTCCCAAGCTTGCCAAATTTATGCGGATTTACCAGTGATGCCGGTTCGCCATCCATCAACATAATACATATACAGTGCGACTGATTTAAATACGAGCAAGAATGCCAAAGAGCATGAAGTCAGAGTCAGCTGGATCAGAAAGCCATTACAGGCCGGCTCGTGACTGATATTCGAGTGCCTCGGACCATATAGTCATGAGAAATTGTAGTCCCTACACGAAAACCGTAAATACACACGCGTGGAGAGGTGGACCGAAACCTTAAAGTACGCGTACTAGGAATAACATCGCCGCTTTACCACAAATGTCAGCAGACGTGACGTTTGAATTATGGGACGACATGACAGAGCAGCGTGCTGTGCAGATGTAAGGGGCATCATAGCTTATACAGAGGCACAGGCGCGCGATGCGGTACCCGTTTTCTATGATAGCGCTAAGTACGAGCTTCTCGTGCTCCGTGGATTGAGAACGCACCACACATGGGGAATGCCTCGGCAGTTTGCTCACGACAACCAGTTACCCCACCTCAGCTTACCCGGTGGTAGTACCTAATAGCGCCTGGTCTCTGGGCCGACATAACTTGGCTTTGAGTAACTTGTTCGGATAGTACAATAAGATAGAAGATAACTCGGACTCGTATGTCTTCATTGTTGCGTGGTTGTAACGCCTTCTCAGGAGAAAGGTCACATGATACTGATTACGTAATGGCGTTCGTTCCTGGCAGCTGCTACCACCACGGGCACGGGAACTTTCAGCACATGCCCCAGACGTATATTTGCATGTAAGAATCTCAAGCTCTACTCATTTATCCCGACACTTCTCGACCTTATGAATGTCAGAACTGGGCGATTATGTCATTGCCCTGTACGGACTAATGGGGATATCATCACATGATCCCTCTATTATCTTGTAGTAATACGATATCTGATTACTCATGCTTAGTATACATGCTTACGCTCACAGTACCATAGGTCTTATAGCGGTATCAGAGGTCCTGACTCACATGTATATATACTGGCCCTGTAGCACAGAATAAAGCGAGAGTTCAGTCACACTTTAACAGGTTATGAGCCCCGGCCTCACGGCCACTCTACCCCCACTTTACTAGTCTCATTGCTGAAGAAGACCCCTCGGGAAACCTCGATCCCCTTCACCCAGTTTAAAACAAGTTTATCCACGCAGTTTACGAGTAAGTCTCGTTGCGTGCTAGTGGCAGACGGAGCGCTCATCACGTTCATTCCTGCGTTAAACTAGTGCCAAAGGATTTGCCTGCTCGTCCCCCTCACTCCGTTTTCCAGCGGTACAAACACTCCGCCGGCTACGCGCCCGCCTCTGGCAACGCCAACGACTCCGTCAAGACCGTCCCGTACGGTAAACGCCGCGGCAAAGAACTACGCCCGCCGACTGCAGCGCTCACTCTCCCGTTCCCTCCGAACTCACACGAGGATAGGCGCCTACGTCGCGAACAGTTCCACGAGCGCTACGCGACCGACAAGGCTGACTTCGAGCAGCGTCTAGCTGCACACAAAATTCAACAGGCACGCGAACGGATCCTCGCCGGTCCATCAAAGCCGACACTCGAGCAGCGTCTCGCTGCCATCCCACCGGCGACACATACGCCGATCGCCCCGAAGCCGATGCTAATCGACTTCAACAAGCACACTCCCGCCGACCTCGTCTGCATCTTCACACCGAAGTTCGACGGCACGCTCAAACGCCTCGACGTCTTCGAGACCTTCGAGCTCGACGACCTTAACTCCGACTGAGTCTGCAATCTCCGCCGACTCATCAAGCAGCTCACGCGCATCAAGCACTGCCTAGTGGATGTCTGCAACGTCGTCAAATACGAGGAGTGACGCAAGTGGGAATTAGGGTGTAGAGAAATAGGGGATATCTCGTTCAAAGGGCTACACAAGAACAAAGCCCGGATTGTACGAGCGCTCAGCGCAGTTTACGTGAACGGATATTTTGACGTGGTTAAGTTTTACGAGAACAAGTAAATACTTTGTATACAACGCTATTGTAACAATCAGAAACAAGTTCTACTCGGAAACCTGACAAACTGTGTGTTTATCCTAAGCGACAACAAGAGTCGTAGTTTAACTGGTTCCTTCGCCCAATCCCAACTCTATCCACCTCTCGGCTAAATCGGCTTAGCTGGGATAAGTGGTTCGCTCAATAGCGTTCACAATCAATACCTCTCAGGAGACAAATACGGTACCTGAAACTGTAGAGACAAAACAGGAAACCGTTGCAGAATTCAGACAGCGACTGAATATCATAGACGACGTAGAAACTCCGTGGGAATCATTAACAACACACGAACAATACGTCAAGTTGTTGTTAACCCCGCAGTACTTCAATTACGTTCAACAACCTCTGAAAGCGTCAGCAGTGTTAATCAACCCTGACGAAGACATCATCAACATCTTCTTCCCCACAACCTCCGATACATATTCGGAGCCATACGCCTGTTACCTAGATCAGGAAGATATTGCTGAAGATCTATACTATAGGCCAATCTATCAGCTATACGATCTCGCATTCTTGGAAGAAGATTGGGAATCACTTTGAGCGACACGAGCCGAATCATACGAGCTCGATCTCAGTGAATTCTTTTACGATGTCGGGTTAACTCCAAAGGAACGTGAAACTCTCTATGCATACACTTGCCTCCTCTTTGTACACGATAACAATGTCATCCTCTTCTGACCCGACCAAGCTCGCTACCTCAACCATCCCGCAATTCGACGGCACCAACTATAAAAAGTGGTCCGACGCGATCCGAGCCTTCCTGCGTTACCAGGGCGTCTGGTACTTGATCCAGAGATACGGCTCCACAGCGACCGTCCCTGTCCCTGGTCTTGCCAGACCAATAGCTGCGACTGGTACACCCACGGCTACAGAAATCACAGCTCAAGCTGCATGGGATGAGAAAAACGACAAGGCACTGGGTATCATCCAGCTCTACATCACGCAGAACCTTCGTCATCTCGTCGATGACAAGTTCTTAGCCCTGGACGCATGGACCGCGATCAAGGCTGGCTACGAGAAACCCGGAGTGGTAGGCGCATTTGTTGCCTTCCAGAAGCTGTTCAATGCGCAGCTTTCTGACAGCTCTGCGCTCGGCCCGCAACTCGATGCGCTCACAAGAGCAGTCTAACCAGGTCAACGCGGCGGGAATAGAGGTCAAACCTCAGCTCCTTGCTCTGCTCATGATCAATGCTCTCCCCAAGTCGTACCAGACCATCGCTGGTACAATTCTCACCACACAGACAGATGTTACGCTGCTCACAGTGGCGCTCATCAAGCCCAAAATTGTCGAGGAAGAACAGCGCCACGTTGCGAACTGCACTCAGATTGCGCGCGTCTCGAAGGCGCCTCTCCTTGACAAGAAATGTGAGAAGTGTGGTCGCAAGAATCACACGACGGAGCAGCACTGGGACACAAAGCCGGCGAATTCTGGCTCGAGTTCTGGTAACGGCAACAACACGCAGCAGCAGGGTGGTGGAAAGCAAAAGAAGGGAAAAGGAAAGGGCAAGGCAAAGGACAATACCGCGACTACCACTCAGACAGTAAACACGCTTAGATTAGTTAGTGTACCACTAGTAGTGAAGATCGAGGAGGAATCAATCTCTGTTTCTCTTTATGCCACGGGTGTCAAGTCTAAGTGGATGGTCGACAGCGGTTGCACAGCACACGTCACACCGTTCAAAACTGACTTTATTCGGTATCATGAATTCTCTAAGCCAGGTCAAGCACATACGGCCGGCAAAGGTCAGACTATCAAAATCAAAGGTCACGGTGAAATCGCTCTGCAACATCGTCTCACAGATGGACAAATTCAGCATATCCGGTTAGAAACCGTATTATACGTACCAGAAGCCGCAGAACGGTTCTTTGCGCCCAGAATGCCACTCAATAACGGTCACCGTATTGAGATGGATGGCAAGAAGTTTAAATTACTCTGCGGGTCAGACCCACAACAGCGGACAGTTTTAATGGAGGGCGAATATGAAAAGTCATCAGGTTTATATTGGCTAGAAGCTGAAGTCCTCACTAGGACCAGCGAGATTAAGCCAGGAACATTAATGTCGGTCAAATCCGACGATCCATATACTTTGTGGCACCGTCGCTTCGGACACGCCGGGAAGAAATCAGTTATTCAGCTACCTGGTAATGTTAAAGGCGTCCCGGATAAGATCTCAGCTCCAACCAGGAATACTCCCTGTGATGGATGCGAATTCGGGAAGTCTCATCGCGATGCATTTCCTGCGTCTGACAGTCGTGCAGATCATCCCCTCGACTTAATTCACATAGATCTTGTTGAATATCCGTCGTTATCACTCGATGGATACAAGTTTGCCCTTACCACCCTTGACGACTACTCCTCGTTTGGTTTAGTCTGGTATCTGAAACGGAAGTCTGATGTCTTCTCTGCCTTCAAGCAATTCGTCACTTGGGCAGAAACACAGGCCGAGCAAAAGTTCAAGGCTATACGTTCGGACCATGGGGGGGAGTTTTTAGGCCGCGAATTCGACGATTTACTAGCAGAACGTGGAATAGAGCGTTAACTATCAGTGGCGTGGACACCACAACAGAACAGCAGAGCAGAACACTGGCAACAGACCATTCAGAATAAGGCAGAAGCTATGCGACATCATGCTGGCATGACGTTTGGGTTCTGGAAGCTAGCATTGGAAACAGCAGTACACATATACAATCGACAACCTCTGCGCCATCATCAATGGAAGCCGCCCATCACAAAATGAAACGGCACTGTTCCAGACGTATCGTACTTTCAAGTATGGGGCTGCAAAGCCTATGTCCACACACATAAGGATGCGAGGGTCAATAAGCTACAGCCAAAAGCTAAAGTCATGATCTTCGTCGGGTACAAAATCGGTACAAAGGGTTACCGATTCTGGGATCCAACTGCCCGAACCATTGTTGTGTCACGCGACGTCACCTTTGATGAGTCTTCCTTCCCCAAGAGAGACGAAAGGCCTCGTGAGCCTGGAATGTCTCAAGATCCACTTCCACCTGTCCTACCCAAACTGCAAAACCCGGACCTTACCAGTCCAGATGACTTCACACCTGATAATTAACCCCCAGACAACGCACATCCACAACCGCGGCAAGACGAACCGCAACAAGAGGATGATGACAAAGTCAATGACGATCCAGCTGATTGTTATGAACAATATCGAAGCCCAACTCCGGAACCATACGAACATCCGGAGATACCATTTGTCCCCGGTCCACCTCCTGGACAACCTCCACTTCAGAGAGAACAATATCGTCCTTGTCAGAGCGGACAAGCCGGTCCATCTCGTCAGGCAGCACCACCTGCTCCTGATATTAGGCAACGATGGAATCTCGAACCACAACCTGTGCCACACCCGGCCAGGCCACAGCACGAGAATGCAGGCCAACGCCGTGTTCCCGATAATAGCTATGGTGACGTCCTGCCCACTGAAGCATGGCGTCAACAGGAACGAGACATCCAACGTGATCAACGAGAAGAACGAGAAGCACGTCAAGAACGTGAAGGTTCTCCAATGGAAGTCAACGATCAACTCCGTCGGAATTTATTCCAATGGATATGTCATGCTCACCAGTCTGACCCCACTACGTATCGCAAGGCAATGTCTCGCCCAGATGTGAAACAGTGGGAGATCGCGATGAAAGAGGAACTCAAGTCTCAGCAGGAGAATTCTACATGGATTCTGGTCAATAGACCAAACAACCGGAGAATTGTAAAATGCAAATGGGTTTATGTGATCAAGCCCGATGGCCGTTACAAAGCACGTCTTGTGGCCAAAGAATTCACACAGATAGAGGGGATAGATTTTCAGGAGACCTTCTCTCCCATCGCACGCTATGAAGCTATACGCTTCTTACTCGCACATGCCACTCTCGAAGATTGGGAAATCAAGGCAATGGATATCAAAACGGCCTTCCTGTATGGTGAGCTCGACGAGGAGATTTATATGGAACAACCAGAAGGCTTTGTGAAGAAAGGACAAGAAAAGATGGTGTGTCGATTAAAGAAGGCAATCTATGCCTTACGCCAAGCCTCACGCACCTGGAACGAGAAGCTACACACTACGCTACTCAAAAATGGATTCAAACGCACGCGCTCAGATGCTGGCATTTATGTTTATCATCACGACAAAGTCGAAGTTTACCTCATAGTTTATGTCGACGACCTTCTACCAATGGGTCCAAGTTTACCCGAGATCCAACGAGTGAAGAAAGTTCTTGCAGAGAAATTCCAAATGCGAGATCTTGGAGCCGCTAGTACATTCCTTGGAATGCGGATCACTTGTGATAGAAACAACAGGTGTCTGGAAATCGACCAACAGTTGTATACCGAAAGAATCCTATCTCGGTTCCAGATGCACAACTCAAAACCTTGCCGCACACCGCTGCCCGAAGGCATACATCTCGAGAAGGCTGCGGAAACATACACCGCTACCGACGCACTCCGCCATCACTATCAGTCCATGATTGGTAGTCTCATTTATTTGATGATTGGTTCACGACCCGACATTGCCTGGGGAGTCACACGACTCTCACAGTACATGCAAAACCCTACGTCACAGCACGTGGAAGCCGCGAAGCATATCTTCCGGTATCTCCGTCATACCACCGAGTATCGTATCCAGTACTCTGGCTCAAATCAGTCCGGTTTGATAGGATATTCAGACGCAGACTGGGGCAAAAATCGGGACAACCGGCGATCAACAACCGGTTTCGTTTT